AATAGATTTTGAAAGAAAATACGAGATTTTTTGAGGAAAAAATTATCAGTGTTGTTGATGGTACAGTGTGTGTGGCTGTCGAAATAGTGTAAACTTTCAAGTCGACAGCCACTTAAATTAATAGTAAAATGATGTGGGTGAAAGATGGGGGAGTATATTATACCAATTACAGTTTAAATTAATGATAGCTATTACATACAAGAAGAATTGGAAATGGATTTACATTAAAATATATATGCTATTACAAAAAAATTACAGAATTATATATCAATATATACATATGCATATGCATATACACATATACATATATATATGCACATACATGTTTTTAATAAGATAAAAAATAAAATGTACACATATACTACACACATGCACTTACATGTTTTTAATAAGATAAAAAGTAATACAGAGCGAATTGATAACGAGAAGTTGTTGGCTTCGTAAAAATGTTTTCAACGATTACTACATACGACAAATAAACCGCTCGTATATATTAAATTAAACTCTCATTTTTCGTACTGGCTGAAAATCATGGAATACGAATAAGGAATTTTTATGAAAATCTCTTTTTCAACCATTACTTTCTTCTAGATCGGCTTCAATTTATCTTTTGTACACGATAACTTCTTTGCATTGGTAGCAATTGGTTCTAACTCTTCAGGATCGACAAAGTGAGAATGTGAGAGTCCAAAGCACTTTTCATATAAGGTATCGAAGATTTAAAAAAGACTAATTAGAATCATTCGTTTAACGACGAATGAGTTGAAAATCATGGCTTTTGCCGTGAGTTTAACAAATTAGTGGTTGATGGAAATAAAACATACAATTTTAGCACTTTTCATTATAAATGTATCAAATATTCTTTCAGCAAAGTTCCATCTTCTATGAAGGATTTTTGATTTTGGAGCGATTTTCTTCCAAGTGGCAGTTTAAGCTTCAGTAGTTATTGTGTAACAAATTCTAATGCAAAAAAAAAAAAAAAAAAAAATTAAAACTCGAAGTATTAGAATATTGTCAGATCGTATATGATGCAATTAATTATAACCTAAAAAGTAGTATAGAAATGATTTATCATTGTTAGATTCTTGACAATTTTAGCAAACGCCTTCAATATCAATTGACGACTTCCAAAAAACTGTATCTTTTATACCTGATTTTTCGGGAACTTTCCTTACAAACAGCGATGAATTTTATTTTTTTATTTTAAATAATTTGCTATAAGGCAGGTGCTACACAAAAGAACAGTTGTCCCCTACGAGGCGCAACACCATAATATCATTGCTATATGAAATATTTTCGCTGAAAAAACCCTTCTTTGACCGGCGCTGTTTTGACCGCAAACTGCTCATTGTCTACAACCAAAATTA